ACACAGAATTACTGTGGGTGATCTAGCGATCAAAGCACTTTCTATATTTTCTCGTCTTAGGAAATTGATTTCTCTTTTAATTTAAGTAGCCTTTTTAAAAATCGGGAATTATGTTCAGACTCATTACGGTGAGCAACTTATTTTTATTTATAATATTTTATTGATGTATATATATATATATATATATATATATATATATATATATATATATATATATATATATAAAAAGTAAAAGTAAATTACGTGGTGTGTAATCTAAGTGGGTCCTTGTAATATAAGAATATTAAAATTGGTCCACAAAAGAGAGCTCGATGCATTTTATTTGTACAGAGCAATATGATGAATAATCCCTAAAAAATTCTTTTTACCTCATGTGGGGAATAGGTTATTTCGGCATATATGATATAAAAGGAGCCACACACACACACACACACACACATATATATATATATATATATATATATATATATATATATATATATATATATATCAGATACTCTGGCACGTATCATCAGAGATGGCTAAGAACATCACTGATGATGTGTACCAAATCAACTGAGAGATGTATTTCACGAATCGAGATCAAAGCGTGGTATCTGTTCTCTCCTCATTTGATATTGGAGAAGACGCCCGATCCTGCGGATTCTAAATCTACGGCAGAACCTTCCTCATTGTACTAAGAGAAGCTCGGTGTAATATCGATGCCAGCGGGTCAGTGGTTGCAGGTAATAGGCGCATTTTGACCTTGGCCCATATACATACATTTGGACACCCCACATAAAAAAAGACCTTTTTGTCATACCCTTCCTTAGTGAGGACGTCAGGTAAATAAATATTATTATATACTAGCAGCATGGCCCGGCGTTGCCCGTGCTTGATTCAAAAATCGTACGGCTCATACAGCAATCGCTATCACTTGACTTAAAATATTTTTGCCCTTCCTTGCCTTTAAAGGAGTGCCCTTGCCGTGCTGATGCTGCTACATGCCTTACTTCTTGCCTATCTCACACTTCAAATTTTTTCTAATCTCTATACTAAACATTAAATCTGTTACGAAAAAAGAACGAAGCAAAATGAACACAAAACAATCAGCTTTAAAAAAGGACTCGTAACTGGAAAACCGAATGAAAAAAGAATATTAACAACAGATACTTTTTCACACCCAACCCAGTTCTGCGGAATCAGAATCAACGTTGAGTTTAGGCAAGCGAATGGGCCAATTGGAGTAAAGTGCCATACAGATTTAAATTTTCCCACTTGTGACGAATGCAGCTATCGAATTTTTTTTTGCATACTAACATGCTAGTTAACATTGGTGTCAGTCAGCTGTTGGCTCTCACGCTGGTCAATAGAGTCTTCCTGTCTATTCGTGGCAGCCAGCTATTGGCTCTCACTCTGGCCAGTAGAAAATGGCCGCAAACTACATGAAAACTGCCGTAGAAGCATGGAAAAATCGATTATTTCCACTATCGATGGGAGTTGGGAAATGCAAACTCAGTCTTGGCCTTCTCGCTAACTTGGAGCATGTGCATGTAAATTTTGGTGCAAATCCGTCGAAAATTGCATGTGCATTCGTTACACACACACACACACACACACACACACACACACACACACACACACACACACACACACACACACACATCCTACCTTTTATAGATAGAGATTTTTGTTTATTATGTTTATTTATATTAATTTATTTATATATTATATTTATTTATATCATTATAATATCTATATTATTTTATTTATATGCCGGGTTATTCAAAAAGAAAGAGCAGATTTCGAAAATTTAATAAAAACAAATGCTAATAAAAACATACAACACATTACTGGATAGAAAAAGGTTGAATGTTTATTATTTAAGTCCGTATGAACTCAGAATGAACACCATGGGTTGTGCGAGAAACATCGAAACGGTACTTCACTTCTTGCTATATTCGAATCACTTGATCTGTGGATATAGACTTTACAGCTTCAACAATTCGATCTCTTCAACATGAGCAGACATATGTGGAACAAACACGTTTATCTTTTATATCCCCCTACAGATAAAAATCGGATGGGGTAAGATCTGGTGACCTGGGAAGCTACAAGCAATGAACAAGAACCTCTTTACCACAAATAATAACAATTTAAATTTATACAAAATCTGGAAAAAAAAAATAAAAAAACAAAAATAATTATTTAAACAAGTTTGAAAATCTGTTTCATTTATTCTAATAACGTTGAAACTTTTCCTATACAGTAACGTCTTTCTGTCACTTAGAATTTGTTTTCATTAATTTTTCGAAATCTGCTCTTTTTGAATAACCCTGTACTATATTATTATATAGGGTGTCCCTCAAAAGTTGACATTTAAAATTTGAATATCTGAGTGCATGTCCAAGGCAATCGAAATTAAAAAGGCTACATCTTAAACAATAAAATATTTCAGTAGCTGTCTATATTTCTGAGATGAGGTATTATGTACACTATTTACATTATTGTCCTCATCTTTGTCGCCATATTTATTACAACATTTCTTCAGGTAGTTGGAATGTCGAACTGAAATGGATGTCAGTTATCAGTTATCTCCTGTTAATTCCCCTCTCCAAGTTCTCCACTGCCTTAACCAGGTATTGAACTCACACTCTTTGGGTCCTGTCGCTGGATCTAACCAACGCCATTATCCACTGTGCCATGTGTCCTTGGGGAAAATATTTATTTATCAAAATTCAAACAAGATATTCAAAGGGATGTAGATTTTATAACGGATTTCACAAAACTTCACAAATGTTCAATATGTGCACTACCTGTGACACGACACACGGTAAGTTAGGAGTCCAGCTCCTGGCGAACACGTTGTAGCATGTCTTGCGTAACATACTCTAGCCTTTCAGTGATTCTCTGCTTAAGTTCCTCTAGGCTTGTAGGAGGAGGAGAAATATAGACCCGTCCTTTCACATAGCCCCATAGAAAAAGTCAAGTGAAAAGGTGTCAAGTCAGATGAATGTGGTGGCCATTTCAGCGGCACATTCTCATTATCACTAAGACGTCCAATCCATCTTTATGGTAGATTCTTATTCTAGGCCGCACGGTCAATTTAGTTTTTACACATTTTGTTAAAATTTGAGATCATTTGAGTGAGAATTGGCTATGTTTAAATGATGCCAGTTTTTTTTTATTCGGGGGCGAGGGGCGGGGTTGTTTATTAAACCTGTATAATTTTTTTATTATTATAATTATTATTTAATTTTTTTATTCATATTTATTTATTTTTTATTTATTATTAATATTACTATTTAATTTGTTTATTTATTTATATTTATTTATTTTTATTTATTATATTATTATTTAATTTTTTATTTATATTTATTTGTTTATTTTTATTTATTATTATTATTTAATTTTTATTTATATTTATTTGTTTATTTTTATTTATTATTATTAATTAATTTTTTATTTATATTTATTTGTTTTACTTTTTATTTATTATTATTATTTAATTTTTATTTATATTTATTTGTTTATTTTATTTATTATTACTATTTAATTTTTTTTTATATTTTATTTGTTTATTTTTATTTTTATTATTATTTAATTTTTTTATTTATATTTATTTGTTTATTTTATTTATTATTATTATTTAATTTTTATTTATATTTATTTGTTTATTTTATTTATTATTATTATTTAATTTTTATTTATATTTATTTGTTTATTTATTATTTAATTTTTTATTTATTTTATTTGTTTATTTTATTTATTATTATTATTACTATTATTATTCAATTTTATTCATATTATTTATTACTTTATTATTATTATTATTTTTTATTGATATTCTTTATTTTTATTTATTATTATTATTTAATTTTTTATTTATATTTTGTTTATTATTATTATTATTTAATTTTTTATTTATTTTTTACTCTCTTATAGGAAACAAGTGACATGGAGAGTAAACCCTATCCCCACACGTCGGGGCACTTGCCGCCGCTTTCAACTTTGGACTATGTTCTTTTCTCTATCACCCTGGCCGTTTCCGCTATCATTGGAGTGTTTTACGGTCTGCAAGACCGGAACAAAAAAGGAGCCAGTCACTTTCTCCGGGCCGGTGGCAAGATGTCCGTGTTTCCAGTGTCCATGTCGTTGTTGGCTAGTTTTATGTCAGCCGTTACTTTACTAGGCACACCGGCCGAAATCTACAACGTAAACACCACGTACATGTGGATGGTAATCTCTTATTTTGTGGCCATTTTTTGTGCCGCACACATCTATGTCCCTATTTTTTACCGGTTAAGGATCACAAGCATCTATGAGGTAAGTACAATCATTTGAAAATAGTTAATATCATGAACTGAGGATGAACGAAGATGTTTACGAGATGAATGAATTGATGAATGAAGATGCGATATTTACAATATGAATAAATTGATGAATGAAGATGCAATATTTACGAGATTAATAAATTGATGAATGAAGATGCAATATTTACGAGATTAATAAATTGATGAATGAAGATGCAATATTTACGAGAGGTGTCGTTGCAGCTTTTGCTTGGAATTCTGTGATTTTTGTTTGTTGAATGTTCATTCAGGTTTTTTTTTAAACCAAACACTGACAGGAAAAATATAATTTTCTTTCAAAAATTAAATCCTAAAATTAGATCCTAATGTTTTTTCACATTTACAGAGAAATAATGATTTGAGATCAAATACAGATCAAATATGGATCGAAATCCGACAAAACGAGAGGATAGAGAACAAATAGGAAATGTTTATCAGTCTAACATTTTTCACTTTTATTAAAGTTTCATCAGATAATGACAGATGGAGATAAAGAAGAAATAAATTCCGGTATTTTTACTTTTGTGCTGTTTGATTTTCATTGGTTAATCGTGTTTTGCGTGCATTAGACTATATGGCGTTACGATTTTAGAGACAACTTGTCCGTTCGAAGTTGCATGAAATTAAGAGATTCCAAGCCTAACTGAGAAACTGTAAATATTGCTTTATGTATGCAAGTGTATAATAATTCTAGCTTGTCTATGTGTGTTTCAGATGATAATGTAAGTTTGTGTGTGTGTGTGTGTGTATATGTGTGTGTGTGTGTGCGTGTGCGTGTGTGTGTCTAGTAGACATGATGTTTTATGGTTTTTCGGATGTTTATTTGGGAACATTTTTACGTACATAGCGTTTGTTTCAGATAAACATACATTAGATTCTTTAAGAATGAATTCAATAAAGGTTGGTGATGTAATATAATACTTTTGATGTGTGTTAATAGTTGGTAATATAGTTATTAGTAATCCCTCGAAGTACTTTCGACGCAAAGAATTATGTTTTTTTTTGTTGTTTTTTTGTTTTAATTAGGGTGTAAAATCAAAGTTATGACAATTTTTGTTCCTGTATATTGTTTAAATGTAGATCTCATTTATGTCCATAGATATTTGCTTTTAGATTTCGTGATGTCTCTCCGATATAAGTTCTTTTACATTGTAAGGGATTTGTTTGATAAAAATCGGCATCTGAATTGGTGTTGGATTTATTTTTTTTCCTAGTTATATCTCCGATTTTCTTGAACGCAGTGGTAAATATCCTAGTATTAGATATATTTTACTAATTTGTTTTTTTTTTGTGGTTTTATTTTACATTGAGAGTAACAATTTACAAACCCGGGGGGCCAATCGAAGTAGAAGGTTACGTTAGGAGGCCATTTGTATGTATAGGTGAGGGAGATAACGATTAACTCTAGCCTTGAATAGGTTGTAGTGATCGGAGAAACATCCTGTTGGGAGTCGGTTCCACAGTGCAGTGGTTCGCGGGAAGAAGCTACTCGAATGGAATTTACTTCTCACTAATGGTATACAGCAAGAATGAGAGTGGTTTGCTACTATGATGTGTTCTTACCATGGAGGTTTGAGTTGGTGGGACCAGGGAATGTAATCCTAGCACTTTCCTTGGAAGTAGCGGTAGAGCAGAGAGAGGTTTGACACATCTCTGGAAGAGGGGTTGAAGGGTTGAGAATAACTCGTCACCCACAGTGGCTCTGAGACGGTTTTGAACTCTCTCAAGGCTGGAGAGTGAGGTCTTTATTTACAAGTTTTGTAGAAAGAGTGTTAAAAAGTAGGAATTTTGTGTCGTTAGAAGTGCGAGATAAAATATCTAAATGTAAGTTATTCAAACTTCATTTTTCATTCGATTTTTATCCACCAGTCTCAAAAGAAGATTTTAAATTTTTGTTTACTTCGTGTGTGAACGTGCCTGCTCTATTTATTATAAGCTCACCACCATCGAGAAGTTAGAATTTTTAAAAAATATTTTAATAAATTAGTTGCTTTTTGAATAAATATAATATAATTTTAATTGGAAATTTCGTGTCGCTCCCTAAATCCCAACTACTCGTCCCAAAGTAATGTTCCATTCCACCAGGGACAGCAAGACGACGTTAGTCTTCAATCCCTGCCTTTAAACTTTTGAAACCTGGTTGGGACGAGTCACATTATAAGTAAGCATTTGTGTATCTTTTTTTGCCTGCATGTTTACACCAATAGATGTATCTTAAACATTCAGTGTTAATTGCAACATGCGCATAAAGCTATGGTTTTATTCAATGACAACCGCTAAGGTCTTCTACCTGCCGCAGGTTAACTTCCGGCAAATGGCGCTGTTACTATGCAGCAAAACGGAAGCGCGTGACACTAATTCTGTTGCATTGACTCTGTTCCATTTATCAGTACAATTTATCGTTAACCTACCCGCGCAAATAATCTGAAAAAGAAGGCAGGGTTGAAAAAAAGATTGAGGGCCATAAGGCTAGGGCTTGCCTCTTATCTGTGACAGTTGTTAAGTTTCCACTGGCGCCAGAAATTGGCGCTTGAGCCCATTCATAAGCTAGGAGTTCAAATGCTGATTTTCAAGGCACAGAGTATTTTCTCTTTGTTCATGAAGTTCATAATACTTGCAGTTTTCCAAATGAGAAAAAGTTATTTTTTGGCTTGGGAAGCGTTCGAAATTATTTCCAGAGATACCCTCCACCAAAAAAAATCCTTAAATCAAATTTGTCAGTCAGTTAAGTCTCATACGTGATACATGCTTGAGTGATCATGTCTCTTTCGATTCATCACTGACTAGGTAGAAGATTTTCCAGCAGTAGAATGCCATTTCTTTCCGCGGTAGACTGGTTGCCAACCAGGCTATAGGACACAGTCTGTCCTGCTATTCAACCATGATAACAACAGTTAGTCAGTTAAGTGCCATACGTAATACACGCTTGAGCGATTCATGACTGACTAGGCAGAAGATTTTCCAGCAGTAGAATGCCATTTCTTTCCGCGGTAGACTGGTTGCTATTCAACCTATAACTGTTAAGAGATAGATTCGTACCTTTCCCAAGGCTATTTCCGCGTAAGTGAATGTAACAAACCTGACCTGAATTCGAACTCGGCTTTCTGATTATCACATTCCGAGCCGATATCCACTGCACCACACCACTTCCAGACCAAGGTTGTACTGACCAAAACTCATTCCCATCTTTATACGAAGGAAAGTATTTGAAAGGATGAAAGAAGAATGGTTCCAAATCTCAGAACAAGAATTTTATATCTTTCTTTTTCTTTTATGTGCCATGAACATTCAGGATGTGGGCGATCATGGTTCTTCACAACTTCCTATCCTTTAAGCAATGTTTATCCCACTACTATATCCCAGTCCCTATCCTGTCATTCATTCACCCAAGCTCCCATGGTAAGTAACTTGTTTCTTTCTAACCCTCTTGCCTTCAGTATGTACTATGAGTGTTACATTTTCCAAGGCTTCTCTTCTCATTATATGCCCCAGTAATTTCAACTGCCATTTTCTCATTCTAAGTACTCGTATTCTTTTTGGTCCCATTTTTCTTAAAACTTCCTTCTTGCTCACATATTCCGTCCATGGTATTCACAGCATCCTTCTGTAGAACCACATCTCTGTCGCCTTAAATCTCTTCTTCATCTGTGAGGAAGTACTGATCACAACAAAAAAAAGTCCTAATGTTATCTATTGTATTATTGTAATATTGGTCAATTAAAATATTTAATTTCTGACGTCAAAGTTCATGATACCTGATTGGCGCAACATTATCTTCTCACTATTATTTTCCCAGTTCAAACTTGGGCGGTACTTAGCTAAATTTACTTAATATCTGTAACGATTATTTTCGCTGCTCTGACATGGAAGACGTCCTGGGCATGACGATAAACTACATCCAGCAGCAAGGCCTCTGATCGGGAGAATGGAGGTTTTGAGGAACGTGGAACTACCTCTTAATTGTTTTTGTTCCTAGGTCCACCCTGACCCGGAGTGGTAGCACCTGTTAGGGGGTACCAGCTATGGGCAAATGGTCATTCACCAAACTAAAATCAAAACACCAAAAAAGTATAAAAATACGTTTTTATAGTAGAAATATTACCAATACATCTTTATATCAAAATTATCACAATAGATTTTTGTGGTAAAATTACCAGCAATAACTTTTACAGCAAAATGATCAGCAATACATTTTATAGTCAAATTATGGACAATACATTTTATGATAAAATGACACTAAATATATTTTTACGTTAAAAATGAGCAACAATACATTTTATAGCAAAATGAAAATAAACACGTTTTATAGTCAAATTGAAGACATGACATCCATTGTCAAAAAACAAATGTGATTAATCTTGTTTCTTACGAGGAGAAACAAGTTTACAATCCTCGTTTGAATTGGTAAAAAATGCAGCTAAGTAGAGGTATCCCTCGATTAATGCGCAATCTCTCTCTCTCTCTCTCTATATATATATATATATATATATATATATATATATATATATATATATCATCCATGATTAATGCGCATTTGATTAATGCGTTCTTTATATACCAAATTTCGATTAGTGCATGCATAATACTTGATTAGTGCGGTAAAACATTCTTCAGTTTAAACCATCGTAAATGAAAATGATTTTTTTATAGTTACCGATGTTCAAATTAGCTGCATTAATCGAGAGATTCCTATAATTATAATTTAATCGTGAAATAATGTCATTCTCTTGAATTAATTATAAAGGTTGAATTTTCATATTTATATTTCGGCATTAAATAACCCATAGAGGTGTTGATATGCCGCTAAACAAACAAACCGTTCTAACATGGAAGAGAAATTTGTTTCTTTTTTTTTTAAGCGCCCGATTTTCTAAAAGAAGCTTGCAGGTATCATTTTTCGTTAGAGGTGAAAGGTCTGTGTCATGAATGTTAACATTTGCAGTTTTGTACCCTATTTGCTTATGGCGGAAGTTTTGTTAGTGTGACGCATACACAAAATGCTGGTAAGGAAATGTTAATAAGTTAATAATTGACCAAGGAACGACGCTAACCTTACAAAATATAAAAAATACAAAAAAAGAAAGGTAGAAAAACAAAGTTAAAAGAAAGGAAAGGAATGACGAAGATAAAATCTTTTATTCCGTCTGTAAAAAAAGTCGTCTGCTTTTAGCATTTCCTAAGATACGTTTTTAGCAACTATTTCAAAATATTTCAAATTCGTCATTGCAAAATCAATTTTCTCTCACTCTCTTTTCATTGTTTTTCATTTTCTTTATCATTTTTTCTTTTCTTATAACCCTCTCGCTTTCCCCAATTGTTTTTCGTTCTCTTTTTTTTTTTTTACTTCTCTCTTGATTTCGCTGTTTTTTTTTCTGTTTTTAATTCTCTTTCTCATTTTCACCTCCTCATATTATCCCTTCCTCTTAATTTCCTTTTTCTTTTGGCTTTACGCCCTTTCACTCTCTCATTCTCTCTCTGTTTCGATATCATTCTTTCTTTCTTTCTTTCTTTCTTTCTTTCTTTCTTTCTTTCTTTCTTTCTTTCTTTCCCCACTCTGTCGTTCTATCGAGCTTTATCTTCACTTTCACTTTCTCTTGACTTTTTCTTTTACCCTCTTTTCCACACTGATATCCCTCTTCTTACTCTCTTTTTCTAACATTTTTTTCTAGCTCCTCTTTCTCTTTTACTCTTTTTAATTTATTTCACTACCTACTAGATATTTGATTCTATTTTCCTCCTCTTTCATCCGTTCTCCCTCTCGTCTTCTTTCTTTCTATTCTTTCTTGTCTGTATTATTATCTCCTTCTTGTCTTGCCTAATTTAGCCTTCTCTTCTGAGAACTTTACCCGTTCTTTTCTTCTCATTTTTTTAATCGTTTTTAAATGTCAGGACAATAATTTTTTTTTAATCCAGAAATAAGCACAGAATTTGGCACACAATTTTTTTAAATTGATAAACTGCATCGTGGTGAACCGTTTTGGTATGCGGTTAGTTCGAGAAATAAATTTTTTCAACGAAACAATTTCATTTTTCTATGTTTTTATTTTTACTCGCTGTCTCATTGGCGACAGACGAAGGAGAAAAGATGACTAAAGTGTAATATAATAATATCCTCCTTCTATCAATAAAGCTGACCTTAATTCCTCACAACTGAAAATTTACATTTCTCTTTTATGATACAGTTCTATAGGGAGATTATTTAAAATGCCTTTTTATAGTAACAAAAAAATTATTAGTATATATTTAGATGTATGGAGAAAAAACAAAAAAAAACAAAAAACAAAACAAGGCGTCTGTTTAAACCAGTGTTTCGCAAACTTTTTACCCTTGTGGAACTCTTGAAATAGTTTTCTTACAAAAATTATTATATACTATTATTAATATCTATCTCTAATATTTTATCGTCGTTCACGTGATAAACCTAATATATGGACACCGCGCATGCGTCCTGTATCGAGTAAGTCACTCAGTGAATCCGATATGTACAGGTCCTGACCACTAACGAGTGAAGACGGTTTCACACTGATGCCATATAGATATCGTTAAATATATTCCCTACGATTAGGAGGAGGCACGGTGGAGTAATGGATAGCGGCTTGGATTCCAGCCGAATCCAGAATTCATTTTGTCACCAATATATAGTGACGTGTCTGTAATTATAAAATAAATGTAAACCACATTTATGGTAGCTAATAATTCTTGTTTATTTGCCATGAAGCATCTGATTGTTAGAAAGTAACGTATATTTTATACATCATTTGGAGAATCCGAAAAATAATATGCACACAAGAAATTAACGGTCACCACAATTTGGTTATATGGCTGCCAAGGTTAGAAAAACAACCATGGCGGCCATTTTCTCAGAAAATGTTAGCACCAAAAACACTTTTATTGATACATACCCAACATATTCTTTTACGAAATAAAGAAATTAAAAAACCCAAAACAAAACAAAATAATGGCCTCCACATGACCCTATAGTAATTTTGGTTTGACTATCAACGTGTTAATTTATAATTTATACACAATAAAAGTTTTTTACAACAATAATAACAAAAGCAATAATAATAATAATGATAATAATATTAATAATAATAGTAATAAGTTTAAGAAAACTATCAAAATACAAGGATGTTGACGTGGAAATCTAAAAAATGTGGCATGCGAGGATATCAATAATTCCAGTTGTAGTTGGAGCCCTCGGATTGATTGGAAAAAGTTCCGATAGACTCATTGAAGGGATTCCAAAGTGACGTGTCTTTCCTTTGTCTTTTGTACAAATATTTCCCTGGCAATTGTTCTGAGGAACTTTTCTCCAGAGTGCCTCGACTGCATGAATTTAAGCGTTCTACTAGATTGGCAATTAGGTCTCAACCTTTTACGGTTGAACTAGCTAGATGCAACTGCTACTTCTATTCAAAGCTTCTTTTCTCGCACTTCTCATCTGTGGAACTCGCTTCCGATTACTTGATTCGCTGACACCTACAATCGCCAACTTCCGTCTTCTTGAATCCTGTTCGTTTATTGTATCTTTTTGCACATCTACTTGCTTCTCCTCACTAAAGTCTTCACATATTCTTTTACGCCATATTTCCCTCCCTGCCTACCTCCTAGTGACATTATCGTCTTGCTTGAAGTGAACTGATTAAAAAAGTTATTTCGTTTAACACGCTTATAGTGACAAGAATCAGGAAATACAACTTGGTTTATGGCAACAGAAGATACTTAGCCTTGGTCACTCCAAATATTATATTTATTCTGGCTATTATAAATGTTATAGATAATACACGCATAGTACCCATCAAGAATGACGTGAATGGATCAACACTTCTGGCTGAAATCAGAGTTTATGTACACTATAACTTGGATGAAAGTATCACTAGCCGGAAATGTTTGGTCAAGGACCAAAGTGTTGTATCTGTTCTCCACCTCTCTTGTCGTGTTTCTGTTTTCGGATATTTCACAAGGTTTGAGAGATGCTTGATCCCAGGGAATTCATCACAGCCACACCATCTCCCTCACTGCACTAAAGGAGGAGGATTGGTGAATAACAAAGACACTGTGTCAGGGGTCGCGAGGAGTGGGCAATATTTGTCTTTGGCCCATAAATACGATTATGGGCACTCCACTTTAAAACGACCTTGTTTCACGTTTCACCCTCGTTGGGAGGCGAGTTAATATCGGATCAGAGTGTAGTATATGTTCTTCATCTCTCTGCTATGTCTTCGGAAAGTTCACGGAAAAAGCTTTGTGGGATACCCAGTTCCTATGATTTCAAACCTGTGGCAGCACCTCCTTCATTGCACTAAAGATGCTGGTTTGTCGGATTCCAACGCCAGCATGACAGTGGTCATGGGAACTAGGCAATGCTTGGCATTTTGGTCATATATATATATATATATATATATATATATATATATAATGTATAAGTGCGCAGGTATGCAGAAAATAGAAAAGAACACGTTGGGTGCATAATCCGGAGTTCCTTAGTATTTTTGTTTTTATTTTAAGAAGACAGTGCTCCATACAGAAGAAGAGCTTTATTATAATAATATTTTTTTGTTTAAAATATGATTCCTTCCTTCTAAGCATAAGAGTTCTCATGTTTCAAAAACGAGCCGAAACTATCCAAATAATTATTAAAATTAAGTTGAATTGAGGTGTTTAGTCCCGTTTTCGTCCTCAAGCGAAATATTAGGAACCTAAATTTCCGATATTAACTCGCCTTCCAACGATGGTGAAACGTGAAACAAGGTCGTTTTAGATTCCTAAAAAAAGAATTACGGAAAGGGCAGAAAAGAAAACACTTGTACAAACACAAGAAAAATGAAATAAAAAGCTTAATCGCAGTCCCCTGTCAGTCATCTTTGATGAAACATGTACAAAAGAGGTTACTGCTTAAATACACAATTGTCACACACACACACACACACACACACACACACAATTGTAGAAATGTGTGTGCCTTATATATATATATATATATATATATATATATATATAGGTAAAAGAAATCCGTGGGTAAATAATCCAAGTAGATCCTATTAATATAAAATATTAAAACTGATCCACAAAAGAGAGCTCAATATAATTTTATTATAGAACATATAAGTGAATTACAGTCAATGAAACACAAACAGATTACTCCATACAGATGGCCATTTCGTACCCCGGAAAAAATTTCCTGGACTTGTTTATGCAAATACATTTGTAAAAAAAAAATGTATTTAATTGACAATTCAGAATTTTTTTTCCCAAAATTCATTGATTGTAATTCACACACACACACACACACACACACACACACACACACACACACACACACATATATATATATATATATATATATATATATATATATATGGGTTCTCTTCGTGAGGTAAAGTACGAGTATTCTATCGATGAACGCTTTCATGAGAATGAAAATTCATCCAGTGTCGTAAAATGTCCTGCATCTGAAATTTATTTAATGGAGAAAGGTTTGTGCATTGCCAGTCTAACTCTCTTGTCCAACAGGCAAAGGCTGCCTACAAGATACAACGTGCAAGGATGCAGGTTATATTTCTGAGTGAACTACCCCTACACAGGTTGCCTTACAAGGCTCCAGAGACTCTATCTGCCCATCAATTTTGCCTCCAGGCCAGTTTTGAAGTCAAAGTTTTCCTTCTCCTTGAGCAGGTGCCATTCAAGACTATAGAACACATCTGTCCACACTTTTTAGTTAGCCATGGAGAGAAGAGTTTTATATCTTTCCCAAGATAAGTGAATGAAAATGAAACGACATAATTTAACTCTGTCTCGATTCCATAATCCAATTATTTTTGCTCATATATATATATATATATATATATATACTTATAATGGCTTTTCTCATCGTCAAAATAGAGTTTCATAGTTTTGTGCATTCTTCATTTAAATTTTAATATATCTACTTATCACAGTGCTGGCGTAGTTATATATCATGCTGGGATTACAGTATTTTTTTTAATTTTAACTATTCAAAATTATATTATAAAACAATTAAAAAATAAGCCATTTATATTTTATTTAAAAGAGAACTAGAAATGATATTTGAATGGGAATATTTATATTTTCATTTTTTAAATATTTTGTAATGTTGAGGGAGATTTTTTGCCTGTTTTATTAAAAACAAGAATATATTTTAATAGTAATATTATTTTGTTCGAAATCTTTTAGTGTTGGGAAATAACAATTAAAAAATTAATTAAAAGTCAAAAAATTAAAATTAAAATTAAAAAATTAATCTGGATCAACGTAATTAAGTAGATGTTTAGTTTTATGCCTACATGTAATTCATTTCTCTTATTTAATAAGTTAGGCTTATTTAAGAGTTTTAACCCTGGATATAATTTCCCAGTTGATTTATGGTGAGTAGCCATCATTCTTTAATTACCATTTAGAGAGAACAATGCTGTTTTTGTATTTTAAATTATTTAAGGTCATTCTGGTAAAAACGAAATTTCCAAGGATTTTCTGTGGAACCAAAATAAAATTTAATATTGTTACCGGAATGTATGTTCGCTCGGTATATAATATTATTGGTCATACACTGACCGTTTAGAGGACAGATGGTATTTTTACGGCAGTTGCATTTATTTTTAGAAGAATTTACGCTGTCTTTGTTGGAAATATGTTTGTTTAATATAAT